ATATCTTGGCTAAACCTGATATGCAGGTAGGATTTAACCCTCGCTATAAATGGATACTTGTTTGTTGCTCCAGTCAGCTATTGTAGGATGCAGTGGAGGAGACCGCTCATTTCTCCTGTGCAATGGAAGGCAATGGCTATGGCTCATAGCCGCAGAAGGAGAAGTGGTGCAGTGCTGGTTCCTGGGGATGGAGGGACAGGCAAGAGTGTTCAACAGGATGGACCCTGATGGAGTTTAGAGGCTGAATGTCAGTATGTGCTATGTCAGCCAAATTTCTAATACAGTTTAAGGAATATCTTGGGCTTTTCCTTGGATTGCTTGTAATAACAATAAACGCACAAGTTTAGTTCACTCATACTGGCCAAGAACTTGCATTTGCAAGTGAGCAGAGTGGACTAATACAGAACGGAGAAATACTGGAGGAGAAGAGAGAGAGTGAAAGCATCCAAGTGTTAGACTGCAGGTACGATGTGAGTAGTCAGCATAGAAATTGCCACGGAATTTGTGTTCCTGAATGAGAAGTTCATTTTGCAATAAGGCATAAATGGAGAAGGGGATTTGGGAGCATGGAAGAGCCTTCTTTAACACTTTTTCCATCCTCACCGGGGAGGAAAAAACAATGAGATAAAACCTCATCTCTAAGAAATCATGACTTCTTCCGGAAAGTGATGCAAATTACATAGTTCTGTAACCATAACCAGTATTGACTGTAGGGATGCCAGACACTTTAATATAAAGACAGAAGGACCAATAAGGAGTGTGGAATACAAGTATATCTTTACATGTTCAGGGAAAAGCTGGTAAATTTCAAGCTGATGCTGTTTATTTAATTTCATTGATTATTTGTCCTGCTGTAATTTCATTTAGATCATAGAAAGTGTTAGTCTTGTATCTGCCTTTGCAGCACATTGCTTATAGCCATGTCTATGAACATATTAAATATCATTGTGATAGTAATGTGCACACAGATTACTTTGGGACTCCTTAAAAAGGAAGTGGATGGAGCAGGGAAATTGGAGTGCTGCCAGAGAAAGGAAGAATTAATGAATCCAACTAAAACTTCAAGGGAAAGCCAGTTAGACAAAATGTAATTTTTCATGGTGGAATTTGGCAAAGATGCTAATGTTAATACTGTTTCTGCTGTGAGAATTTACAGAAGGCTCCTTTTCTATCATTTTATGATTGGGATTCAATAGCATATTTTGTCTGAAGGCTTGTGCCTCCCTGCACCCTTACTCCATGGCACACTTTACACTATGCTTGATTTAGCAGTGGCTCAGAAGTAAAACTGACATTTCATGAGTAACCAGCAGTACCATTTTCTTTAACATCTAAGGTAGATTTGCAGCAAGGAGGCTAAATCAGATAATTTTCCTTAAATCTTGGGCAAGTTTGCAGACTGCTATGGAATAAGTATGGGATGCACATTTTTATTCTTCTGACACCCCTGGGGGAAAAGAAGCCCAGAGAAAACAAAATGAAAGATGACTTAAATTTGAAATAAAAAACACTCAAACCAAACAACCCAAACCAACACATCTCTTCCCCCAGAAAACAAAAAACAACCAACCAACCAAAAAACCAGAACAATTTTTAAAAAAGGGAGAAAAACAAAGAGGGTGATGTGAAAAGCTACTGAAGTATGCTCTGGAACAACTCAGCCACAATGTTAAGTGAATTAATAATGACCAGGTAAAGGAACACATAAGCCAAGAGAACTCTGTATGTTGAACATAAGAAAGCACAAGAACATTCTGTCTGACCAAAATTCATAGGGCTGTGTGTAATAAAGATCAAAAAAAGATATGTTTGGCCACATACACTAAAAAATGGCAGGGGAAGCATAAGAGCAGTGTATAATGTGACAGAATGTAGATTAAAGAGACTTTAGATATAGTCCAACTTCTAAGGAAATATTCTGCCTATTCTGAAAGAGGTTAGAGTAAGATAAAATCAGAGATGGTAGAAGAGGGCACAGTGCTAGAAAACTGCATGATCTCTATTACAGAATACTGAAAGAAGAGGTGTATAACTGACAATGGGGGACTGTAGTTGCTGAATGGAGAAAAGCAAACTTGTTGAATAATGGAGTTGAAAGGAAAAGGGAAAAAAGGGGTCACATGAACAATTTGGATTTCCACATCTCACCAGTGCGTAAGGTCTTGAAAATGATTCTTGTAGGAAGACTACTCTAAAACACCTACGTGCTTGTGCACAGTCATATCAGATTGGTAGTGCAACTGATGAACTGTATAAAATAGCAGAAGTTTTGTTCTTAATTGCTGAATGCACAATTTAATCTCATTCCTATTATTCCAGTCCACAAGATTATCATAGACAGAGAACTGAACAATCCACTGTCCTCTTCAGCACTGACAAAATGTGCAATTTTATGTACACATTCATCTAGTTCTTGTGATAAGGTCAATGACAAAAGTATTCAAGATGAAAGCATACAAAATGGAATAAAATGCAGGATCAATGATCTGTGATGAAATCATAGCAAATGCAGTTTTTTCTTGGTGGTGCTGTTATTAAAATAGCAGGGATGTGCTACCTAGGTTTACGCGCAGCATTTGAATCGTGGAACCTGGGAAAACTTATTTAAGGAAGAGATGATAGTGATACATGCTAACTCTGAAGAATAAAGATCTGGTTAAACAAAAAGAGTTACATAAGGCTGTTTTGAAAGGAGGATCCTTGTCTCTTTCTGCTGCGGTTTCATCAGATGCTGATGGGACACAAAATTGCAGAGCTGAGAAGCTCTGAAGAGCAGATTGTTCAATTCTCTGTCTATGATAATCGTGTGGACCAGAATAATAGGAATGAGAATAAATCATGCATTCAGCAGTTAGGAACAAAACTTTTGTGATTTTATACAGTCCACCAGTTGCACTGCTGATCTGCTAGGACTGTGAATAAGTCTGATGCATTCTAGAAAAGTGCTAGTATCACTGTAAGGTTCAGCAGCCAGTTATGTGCATTCCTATTTACTGGAAATAAACACATGTACAAAAGTGGTGGTAGGGTGACTAGAGAAATAACAACAACAACAACAAAAATCAACATTTCACGAAAGGAATTTTTAAAATTCAGGTTTGTTTAACTTAGCAAAATGAAAACTGAAGTGTGATTTAATAAACATATTTGGAGGTCGGGTTTAAGCATTTCTTCCACCTTCCTGCAACCTGAAATGAAATCAGGGAATAGTAAATTGTCATGCACAAATTTAAAGTGGGTATTTTTAAGATTTCAGACCAGGAGCAAAATGATCATTTGCAACATCCTTCCTCATAAGGACAGGTCAAATAAATTGGTATTCTACTGGCACATAAGTTTGTGTACTCATGCAATGATCAGATTTGAGTTTGAAGTGTACCTCCAAAGAGAGGTATTTGGTTGTCACTGTTGTGTTCCTATAGTGTCTTTGATCTTTAGCATTCCTTCAAAGTTTATTTTTGCCCTGACTGGGTTTATTAGCTGGTTTCTGAGATAGCCAAGGTGTTGGATTAGGGTTTAGGGTCACCCTTTGAGACTAAACTGAGGTTTCAGCAGAGTTTGATGTGGAAGGACTTGCTTAGGGCATGCTGCAACATTGGGCACTGTCTCCTGTACAGAGTAGGGGGTGTGTCTCTCTCAACATCCAATTTATGTCAGTCAGCCGCTGACATTCTGCCTTGGTACAAGCTATCAAGCAGGTGGCTCTCTGGTCCCACAGTACCCTCCGTTCTGACTGAAGGCGCATCCCTGGAGGCAGGGAGGGTGAAGGACATGCTCCTGACATCAGGAAGGCTGTCCCGCCGGACCCCGTTGCGGGGCGCGGGATCCGTCAGCCTCTAGCGAGGAGCCGCCTCACGGCCACAGCAACACAAAGCGCGACCGGGGAGGGCAGCCTCAGCGCAAGCAGCCAGCATGGCAGCGGCGGAGGGAGTTCCTTTCCCTGTGCGAGCGCGGTTCCGGCTCACCGGGAGGACGTCACTTCCCCGGGGCGGGGCGGGGCGGCAGCCGGTAGGTGCCCGCGGGGGGTCTCTGAGAGGCAGGACGGTGTTGAGGTTTCCTTAGCGGTTTCCTCGGGTGAGGAGGACCGTCCCGCACCCGCCCCGTGTCCCCAGGGGATTCGGAGAGGAACTTTGTGAGACAGCGGTCCGCTACCCTGGAGGGCCTCTGAGTAGGCCGAGCGACAGGCGTTCAGCGGTGCTGAGGTACATCAGGGCAGGCCCAGCGAGAGCGGTGGCGGTGGTGGTGCCTGGTGTGCTGTATTGTGGCGGGCATCTGGCAGGTTTCAGCCGCGAAGATACTCAGGGGGCTGGAGCACCTCTCCTGTGAAGACAGGCTGAGAGAGCTGCTGGGGTTGTTCAGCCTGGAGAAGAGAAGGCTCCGGGAAGACCTTAGAGCAGCTCCAGTGCCTAAAGGGGCCAACAAGAAAGCTGGAAAAGGACTTTTTACATGGGCGTGTAGTGACAGGAGAAAGTTAGATGGCTTTAAACTGGAAGAGGGGATATTTAGGTTAGACATTAGGAAGAAAGTCTTTACTATGAGGGCGATGAGACACTGGCACGGGTTGCCCAGAGAAGCTGTGGCTGCCCCACCCCTGACAGTGTTCAAGGCCAGGCTGGATGGGGCTTTGAGCAACCTGGTTTAGTGGAAGGTGCCCCTGCCCATGGCAGGGGGTTCGAACAGGATGATCTTTAAGGTCCCTTCCAACCCAAACCATTCTGTGATCTTTTGTTCTTGTGTATTGCATGTCTTTTTAACTATTTTTCTGGAAATAAGGTGCAAAAAGCTCGTCTTGTGTAATTGTTTTAAAGCTTTTGCAGCAGCAAAAGTAAGGTATACAGTAATTTCAGTAAGCATAAGAGTTGGCTTGTACATGTTTTTTTAGGGTACTGTGTGCTTTTAGAGGCTGTCTTGTTTAAGAGTGCTTTTTATTTATCTGCTTGCTTATAAAAATAATTTCTTAAGTATGATAAATTCTATACAGGATTTGAAAACTTCTTTTTGTTCTGTATTTTCAATAGAAAGAGGGAACTATCTTATCTTGTTTAAAACAGTAAGTACGGATAAAATAAAAGTGGATGACTGCCTGTGTACTCATGTTTCATTTGAGTTTTTCTAAGTGCTTTGAAGGAAGTAAAAATGTGCTTCTTTCTCTTTAGGGTGTCTACAAACAGAATTGAACTGGTATCTCTGGTACTTTTAATTCCAAACAAGATGAAGATCCCATCTTTGCTGCTGAGATTCCCTCGTTGTTTCTTTAGAAGAGCTTACTTCCCGAACTTTCATTTCACTTCCAGAGTGGATTTCCTGTGCATTGAATCTCTTACGCCAGCACAGCACTATCAAACAAAATGGGTATCTTCGTCAAACAGTTTGAGGAGAGAGCTGAGTCAGCAGGTGGCCCCTAACCAGCAAGTAGAGGAACTTTCTAATGGAGAACACAGACTTGTAGACAGACTTTACAGTGGACTAATCCAGGGTCATAGAGCCTGTTTAGCAGAATCCATTACACTTATAGAATCAACTCAGAGCAGGAAGAAGAAAATAGCACAGGTGCTCCTTCAGAAGGTATTATCCTACCACAGGGAACAAGAAAAGTTAAATCAAGGAAAGCCACTTGCCTTTAGAGTGGGTTAGTCCTTTTACATCTGTCTGGTAGTTGCTTTGGTGGGATTAGAGTCCTCACGTTCCATTATCACTATTGTTCTTTAAGCATCATGGTCTGTAGTCTTGGATTGTTGGCTTCTGGTTGTTTGTAACCGATCTAGATCGCTTCAGCTGTCCAGTAGAATTATGGACTGAGCTGGGAAATGCTTTTGAAAAGTTCTGTAAATTACCTTTGCTTCTTGGGGGGATGTTATTTGCCTTATTTTTTATAACTATTACAAACTGATATATTAGGTAGTTATCAGATAGATACAGCTGTTATATACACTTAGTGCAGGATGTATTTCAGCAGACCTGGCCTTTACCTGAAGAAGGTGTTTTCTCGAATACTTCCTGAATCCCTGTTTCAGTCTACAGAAGGAAAAACATGTTCCTTCCTGTTTTATAGCCTTACTTTAAAGCAGCTTGCTTTACAGCTGAGGAGTCTTGAATTGGTTCTCTTGCAAACTATAAAATACTTTGCCCTTGCAAAGAGATGGGTGACTGAATTATACCATGGCCAGTTGTCATCTCTTCTGTGTGTGCAAAGGTAGTAAGAGCAAGAAATTGGGCATGGGAGTGAGAAATCATGGGAGTGAGTGGTCAATCTTGTTTTGCATGCTTTGACATGCAAGTAAGTTCCCTCATGTTTTGAAATAACAGCTCTTCAGGGTAAGGGCTTTTGCTTTTAGAGTGCTTCTTTTAGAAACAGTAAAAATCGCTACTTAGGATAAGATGTTTTTGAAGTTCAGAAGGAAAGATCAATATAAATAAACTTACTTGGAGGGGAGGAAGTATAGCCAAAAACTGGAATGTTATGTTGGTATGGGTAGGATGAGAGGTGGTGAAGTGAGTACTGCTGTGTTGCGAGGACCAAGGTAATGTATTTCAAGTCAAATTACAACTGCTTAGTTGTGGTGTAGTGTCCATTTACCTTTGTTGTGATACTGTGTTAAAGTATGAATTGTTATCAACTTAGATGTTGTTTTTGTGTGATGTATTTATTTGATTAACAAAATGGTTTTTTTTTCTTTCTAATATAATTATTTAGGGTTATCTGGTCCCCCTGGTGCTGGGAAATCGACTTTCATAGAATGCTTTGGGAAGATGCTTACGGAAAGAAAATACAAAGTGTCTGTGCTGGCTGTAGACCCTTCCTCTAGTACAAGTGGTGGTGAGTGTGAACTAAAGCTTGTGCCAGGTTTCTATTATCTTTTCAACTGTAGGAGTCTCTCTTTGGGTCAAATGGAGGGAAATTTGGGGCCTTTAAAAGTAAAATATTAAAAATGTTGGATCAAGTTTTCTTTTTTTCCCCATGTGATATGAAATTGCGAAATGTGTATTGTTATCCTATTTTGTCTGGGTTCCTCTCTTCCAGTCTCCGAATGTTGCCTTTACAACTTCTGGTCTGAAACTTTAGATAGCCATGGTTTTCTTTCTCTAGCTGCATTTATATATCTATTTTCCCATGAATGGAGGAGTAGAAGGGCACTCATTTCTGCTTGAATTTCAGCAGTGGCAATGCTGATCACTGTGCGGGAAGCATGTGCTAATTTAAAACTACTTAGAGGATGCTACAATCCAGACATGTTGATCAGGTTGGATTTTAGAACATTCATTAGTTTTTCTCAATAAGCATTTTTGGATTTCTGTTGACTCTACTAGTTTCTAAGTCTCCTGTGCAGTATCATTGACCATTTGTCTGACTTGTACAGTTACTTTTTTTTTCTAAATATACAATTCTTCAAAGTTGTGTGACTGTAATCTGTCACCCTTAAATAAAAAATTGTAGGGAAATTATAGGCTAAACATGCTTTAATTAATGGTCTCTCTGACATAAATAATAAAGCCTTGATTTTGATCTTTTTCTAATGGGCAGCTGCTTGGAAACATCATTCCTTTTTCCAGCTTCTCCACTGTTACAGAAGATGCTGCAACGTTTATGAATTAAAAAAAAAAACCTTCAGCATTGCAGTGACCTGTAGCTGAGGCAATGTTCTTGAATGTGTACAGTCAAGATGCATTTTGCAATAGCAAAATATGATAGCAAAACTGCGCCAATTCAAAGAATTGAGCATCTCTCATCTTTTGGAATGTACATCATATGTGGAGATCTCACTGAATCCCATTTAAAGTTTGGATGAATAGAAGGAAGGCAGGGATGCATGTCAGCCTTCTTAAAAACATAACTACATCATCAAGACGTATCAGAATCATAAGGTAGACGCTTGTCCCTTTGGAGAGAAACAGCAAAGATTTACTTGTGTGGCCTGCTGTGTATAGACCTCAAAAAGCCTTTCAGGTTCCTTCTGACCTAGAATAAATTCTTCGTATTTAGTAGCAGCAAGGACTGCTAGCACCCTTCCAGCACCCTTCTGCTAGCAGAAGAACCAGGCAGTAACTTCGTAGTCCTCAACAAAGTCTTGAGCAACTATTACTGGGATATTATTTGACTGACTTTGTCCAAGAGATCAGTCTCTTCTCATTTACTGGGGGATGGAGAGGGGAAAGTTTAGCTGTCTTGTGCTTTTTAAAATCATTCAATGTTACATGTTTAAGGTTCTCTCTTGGGTGATAAAACACGAATGACTGAGCTGTCAAGAGACATGAATGCATACATCAGACCATCTCCAACCAGAGGAACTCTCGGAGGTGTAACAAGGACCACAAATGAAGCCATTCTGCTGTGTGAAGGAGGTGGCTACAATGTTGTTCTTGTAGAAACAGTAGGTATGTGTTTAGGGTTTCAATTAGCCTATTGTGATCTCTAAAGAAGGTGTGTTACTAGGTCTGTACTTCCATCCTTGATTTTGCTGATGCTTTTGTACATGATAACTAGTTGAAAATTAATGCCCGTTCTGTCAATTTTCTAGTCCTGTATGTTTTGTAAAAATTGTTGTGTTTCCTGTTGTCTCTGTTTTGTTAGTGGGATTTGTTAGTGGTGCAGTACTGGGACCTGTCATGGTTACTGTCATTAATGTGACTGAAAGCTTGGAATAAATGGTGAACTCTGGATTTAATTTTTAGGTGTGGGACAGTCAGAATTTGCTGTGGCTGATATGGTTGATATGTTTATATTGCTGCTACCACCTGCAGGTGGAGATGAATTACAGGTACTTTTCAGTTGCTCTTATTTATGTATTGCCAGGGACTAGAAAGAGAAACTTAAACCCAGAATGTATCTGTGCAGAAAGTCCATAGCCAATAGTGTTCTGTAAGTTACACTGCAACTACTGAAATCTTTTCAGTGTTTTACCAAGTTTCACAGTTAGGATCTGATATCAGCCCCTGATTTTGGAAGTGTTAGGCTGTAAAATTACGATACTCTGACTTATTTTGGCATATTTACTAGTTATATATTGGAGGGTGGCTTTGTAGTGCAGGAAAACAGAAATCAGTATAAATACGTTTTCAAACTTGGTCATGTTTTGGTTAAACTAAAGTCTCTACCTGTGAAATAGGTTATCATGTAAACTCCAATATCCATGTCTAGGGTTCTTGCGTCAAAATAGAGTAATAACTAGTAACAGCAGAGGCCATTGGTGCTACTCTTGCATGACTAGCTCATACACGTATAAAAAAGTCAGTAAGAGCCACTAGAAAGAAATAAAGCATTTTGACATGCTTTTTGTGATAAATTAGCATGTCACAGTCCTTCTGGGTATTCATGATTTCTCTCCCTGTTGCATTTAGGGTATCAAACGAGGTATAATTGAGATGGCAGATCTAGTTGCTATAAATAAAGCCGATGGTGATTTAGTTGTGCCTGCACGAAGAATACAAGCTGAGTACGTTAGTGCTATGAAGCTGCTTCGCAGACGTTCAAAGGTTTGGAGACCAAAGGTTTGTGTCCTTTGTTATGGTTTATGTGGGATTTTGGGTGTGGTTTTGTTTTGTATGATGGTGGTGGGTTGTTTGTTCCCCTCTTTCCTCCCCTCCCCCCTCCCAGTGCTGAATGAGTTAGGATTGTTGTCCTCTCATCTAGCTATACTAGTCTCCCTGGGCTCTTTGATCAAAATTTTAGTTCTGTTGTTTACACCATGCTAGAGTTGATTGCTGCTGTTTCTGTTTCACCTCTGGTCTCAGGGTACACTATATGAAACTCTGTTCAAAGCCAGTCCTGCTCCCTATGATTTATGTCCTGAGCTACAGCAGACCTACTGGTAACATCATAGTGGTACAAGCTTGTCTTGCTTTTTATAAACTGTACATATCTTAAAATGTCCCATAAGCTATTTCTCCCTCTTTTATAACTCTGAAGCTCATGATTATTTTGTTCTTTCATGTGTTCATGTGCTTTCTTTATTGCTTTAATTTTATTTTTTTATTATTTCACACATAATGAAAGTTTTGGGACAAGGACCTCATCTACTTCTGTATGCAGTGTCTAGATTATTGGAATTATCATCCTGTGGGCCTTTAGCTTTAATGCAGTATTCAGTCTATCAAAAGGTTATGGTAAAGTATAGAGGAAAAGATTCAGTACTAATTTTTAGTCTGTGTATATAAAATAAGCACACACATACTCTCTCATTTTATTTAGACGTGTGTGTATAAAGGACCCTTTATAGACAGGGTGTATATATATATATATGCTTATACACACACCCTACCCTGGTATTAAAATTGACCTATTGAATTAAGTTTAAATCAGCAGGGCTGCTTGAAGGCTAGTCATCATTTTGTAATTTTTATTTCTAGATCTGAGGAGAGCTTACGTGATAAATGTGAGCCAAAATAACTGTTTGAGACAAGTGAATTAAACAGGTTATCAGAAATTTCTTTCAGTGATTGCAGTGTCTGAAAACTGAAAGAAAGAAAATATTGATATGTAGGGTCTGTATGCTATCCATTAGATTGGGGAAAGACAGAGAGACGCTTTAAACAAAAACAACAACAAAAAACATCCCGCCACAAACAAAAACCCCCAAACCTAACTATTCCATTTAAAGGATCATGTTGGATGTCTGAAATATTTTTGGCAGAATAAATTCCTAGTATAGAATGCATATGCAAAACCCAAAACATAGTCTGAATACATCCTTTCTGGAATAGTTTAAGTGCAAAAGACTAGCTGCCAGGAAATATCTACCAGAATACGTAATTAAGTCTACATTGAAGTAAAACAGCACCACTATAACTTTTAGCTAAAGAACTGTTTAAAAATATTCTTACTATACAAGCAGTTGAACAAGGCCTATTTACCCCAAATGCTGCAAATTTTGGGGTCCCCTTACAGTTGGTAGAATTCCAACTCTGAGACCTTTAAAAAAAGTAAGCAGCACAAAGCTGCTTATAGCTTCATGGAGGGTACTGAAGTAAGCTTGACCTATGCATTTCTTAATTTTCATACAATCATACTTGCTGCAGTAATTGAAACCTCAAACCCAGTAGTTACTTGCCTTTAAAAATTCTTCTGAATCGAACAGGTAATGCGCATCTCTGCCAAAACTGGAGAAGGTATCTCAGATATGTGGGATAAAATGACAGAATTCCGTGACCTCACACTCACAAGTGGCGAATTGATTGCCAAGCGACGGAAGCAGCAGAAAGTGTGGATGTGGAATCTCATCCAAGAAAATATGTTGGAACATTTCCGGAGTCACTTGGCAGTCAAGGATAAGATTCCACTTCTAGAAGAAAAGGTTCTTCGTGGTGTCTTGTCACCTGGGCTGGCAGCTGACCTGCTGCTGAAAGCATTCAAAGATAGTCTCTAAGCATTATATTCTACTTTGTTCTTATTAAGCGCTTTATGTAAACATGAACATTAAATACAGTTTTTGTATGTGTGGATTCAAATGTTTTACTACAGCAGACATTAATAGAATACCTATCCAGTACTCTGCAAGAAAAATACTGTAGGATTTTGTACATACGACAACCATGACAAATCCAGTCACTACAGACTTATTGGAAAAAAATGCATTTTAAAGTCTAATTTGTACACACCATAGACCCACTGATCGAACATCCCTGTCCATGTCAAAATGTGATTTGGGGAGGGTGAGAGAGAAAGGTTTGTGGAGGTGCAGAGTTTTGTTTCAATTATGTGACCATCTTAGAGCAGCTGACACAGCAGCTCTCCATTCTAATACAGCATCAGCTGTTGCCAATGTGTATTGCTTTTTCTTTCCTCACTTTGAGTGACAGCAAGAACATTGGACACCCTGGCAGCACCTGACCACAGTTTTAGTTTGAAATAAATTGTATGCATATAAATAGCATATAGTGGTGTTCAGTCCCTGTTTGGAAACTATAGTTAGTTATTATACACTAGGAGAAGGGAATTTTAACAATCTCAGTTTCTAAATAGATGTTGCAATACAAAAGCAAAATTTAGTTAGACTTTTTTAAAATGCAGACATCAGATGGAAAAATGTAACCCATGATGTTTTAATAGCAAATGTCTTTAGTAATAATGGTTTGAGGTTTTCCGATCTCAATTTCTTGTGGTTCATACGGAATGCCCTGTTGTGTTTGGTTTTTTTTTTCCCCACTCTCTTGTAGAATACATGGGTGCTTATACCCAAAAGTACCTTTCTGTTATTTGTTCTTTATTTCCTTTGCGAACAAATCTGGAGGAAGCATTTTCCTGATCCATGACCTAAAAAGCGGAGCTCATCTGGTATATACTAAATATGAAGGATAAAGTAGAAAAATGCTCCTTTTTGGAGACTTGACAGAAACCCAGTAAAATAGGAGGTTTTGTGAGTCTATTGTTGTTACATAAATTGACTTAAAATACTGGAAGTGATAATTCTTAGGAAATTTTGATTTTCTGAACACAGAAGTTATGGTGTCTTTAATTTTTATTTTAGCTCAGTTTCACCTGTTTGGCTTCTGAAGAAGCACAAGCCACACAGAGTTTTGAGTTCTGGCAGCCTATATCTGAATACTTCAGACAATTTCAGGATAGCAGTGAATTCATTTACTTAGATCTTTTTTTTTTTTCTTCATTTTTTTTTTTCCCCCAAGATTATTTTCTTTTCCTTCCTTTCATCTGAACTGTAATAATGTGTTCCAACTATACTTACTTTCTCCTGGGAGACCTGTGTGCTTCAGAATTTTGATTCCTGTGTAGGTATAATTTATAGGTATAATTTTTACGAAAAAATGAGTGATTGTTGAAAACACTGAGGATTTTGTTTCCTTTGGTTTGTCAAAGTGGCACAAATTAGTGCAAAAGAAACCTCCATCCTTGATGCTAGCGTTTTGGTTGTTTTTCCCATTGTATGATGGTGTCTTGCATAATTTTCCATATACTTTTACTCTAAAGATAATGTTTTACTCTAAAGACCCTTATACTGAGGTATGACCAGAAAGTAAAGAGCAAACTGCAGGACAAAGTGAAAATAGTTTGTACTTAAAAGCAATGATCCCCATGTATATTTGCAGAGCAATACTAACAAAGAAGCATTGTGGTGTTTTGTGGGACATACAGTCAAGGCATTTCTTTGTTAAGAAAGTTTGCACTGGTGTAGTTGGTGTTGGTGAATTTCACCACATGAATTGTCAGAACTTCAGTGCTCTGACCCCATATTTCTATTTATTCAACTTTTCATCCCAAATGAGTAATCTGGGATCACTGCAATCAGTTACATAGAAGTATTTGAAGGATTATAAGGGGTGGCAGAAGCATAGTGACTTTGTTACGACTGTCCCGAGTGTTGTTGTGGAATTAAAATACATCACTTACAGTTTCTTTTCTATCAAAACAGCCTATATTGTGTATGACAGAAAGTTCCCCAAACTGAAAACAATGTCTTCTCTTCTTTCAGCTTTAAATATTAGATGTATTTTTATGGTACCTAGAAGAAATGGCAGTCAGGTGGAAAATGAATTAATGAGAGCAGCAGCATTTTAACTGGTGAGTTCTCAAGTTTTTGTAGTCCATTTGTTTCAGGTGATAGTTTTTGAGGTGACCTCATTTGTGCTTACCTGTTACATCAAACACTTATTATTGTCATTACTTTTGCCAGGGACTGCTGTTTTCCTTGTCTGCTATATGTGAGCTGTCAAGAAAGTAAAGTAGAACCTGCAGCTTTGTTTAAATGACAGCTGCTCAAACAGAATATGTTTTAGCACTTCCTCAGTATTTGTTTTCTGGACACAGATCTTTTGACCCACTCAAGCTATGGGCCATCATTATTTTCTCCTTTTGTTGCTTCTGTTAAAGTATCATTAATTTACTAATGTACTCTTAGCAGAAGACAGTACAATGGCTTAAGCAAGTTCTACTCTTCATGCAACTGCATTTTTTTCCTAAAGTAGAACATTAAATGAGAATTAGATTTGCCTTCTTTATGTCTTCATTTGTGCCTCATGCTTCAGTGGACAGAGAAATACCCTTATACTGAAAAGGGTCTTTGGAAATGTTAGATAAGGGTCCCTGCTCCCTTTTTCAGCGATTCCCCTGAAAAAAATTGTATTGTGCAAACTATGAACTGTCTCACGTAAGAGAATCACGTTGTTTTATAGGTTCTAAAATATTTATGTGATATGTTTTAGAGTCAACTGCTGTTCAGTTAATTGTGTAGTTTTGTGTATGTGCTCACAGGCTACAGAAATGCATTGTCTTCAGCAGGACTGCATAGCTTTAGATGGTAGGCTACAGTTTAGTAAACAATTCAGTATTTCCCAACATAGGGAAGAGCATTTCCAGCTCATCATTTCTAACTGTGGATTAAGTGGGGTAAAATGCATGAAAACGTTGTCATTCAAGTAAACAGGCTTTTGAGAAAGGATAGTAAACAAATCCATTGAGCAGGATGTTGACATATTCTTAGTTTCTAGAGTTGTTAAGTTGCTCTCATGTTAACAAAACCACAGCTACTACAGAACAGCATGAGCAAATTGTATAACTGTATGAGAAAATGATAGCAAGATTAAGTTAGTAGTTAGAGGCATGATACAGTAAGTCGAATTGATATGGGAGGTAAGGAACAAACACTTCAGATACACAAACTCATGTCCTATGAAGTCTTGCAGCTGTATGTAAGTGTGAAACTTTTCCCCAGGTCCTTGTGTAATAGATGTTGCTGGTGTTTCACAGCTGGAAAAACAAGTGTGATGAGATGAGGTGATTTACCCAGGACTCTGAAACAGGTCAGCAGAGTATAAGGGTTACAGTCCAGTCGTCTATTTTGAGCCCCGTGTATATTTACAGCCATGTTACTTAAGGTTGAAAAAATGCTCTTAGCAAGTTCATGCTCTCAGTATGACTTACTCCTTTCGTATTTAATCTCTCTTGTTTTCAGTGACGGGACCAAGTGACCCTTCTTGACTACTGTTCTGTTGTAATGTCCTGCTTTAAGTAATAGAAGAGTTTTACTTGATCTCTGATCTGCCCTTGTCTTTTGTAAATGCTTCCTGTTCTTGCATGCTTGTTCAGTCTTTATGTTCCTTCACATACATTGTTTCTTTCTTTGTGAAATCTGCAGTGTATTGGCTGTTTGTGGGTCTTGTGATTTTTGGAGATGGGGATTGAGCAAAGCTGAATGATACAAATGAACTTTTTTTTTAACCTTTTGCATTTATCTTCCTAAAGTTTTCTTTCTTAAAATAATGTGGTAAGATTCAGTTATTGACTTGCTGTGTACTGGTGTAAACACATTTATTTCCTCTTTACTTTTTCTTACTCAGAGTGCTCTATTGCTTCCCCCTTGGATGCATAGTCAACAAGCAGCACTATCCATGAGTTAAAATGAGAAACAGTTTTACAGAATTTAGTGCTTCTGTAACTATTCCTGCTGGACTATTCTAAATCAGATATCATTTGAAGAATGAATGAACAGAAGTTGATGAAACAGGTATTTAAAGAAAAATTAGTGTGTTCCCCTGGAACTTATGATTTGACAGTCAACAGTGACTAATTAGCAGCAGGTATACTCTTCCAAAAACTAGTTCAACTAGTCCATGGTCATATTGCTTACAGTTTATTTAAAAATACACCACCACCACCACCCTCCCATGGTAGGACATTAACAAAATTTGTGCATTGAGAATAAAAATTTCAAAACTAAAAACTCCTCCGCAATTACAGTACATATTTAGAATGGAAATATGATAGACATAGTCTGTTCCCTGCTGCCATACTGAAGTACGGTTCAGCTGGTGAGCAAACAAGGAAAAGAGGAGCTAACATTCATGATTGTGGAGAAAGTACATTATGAAGCAGAAAGAAGAATGTCTTTTTCCTCTTTTTTTCTCCCATGGGAGCATAGGAATTGTCTTTAGACAATTCACTGGCAAGCTGCAGAAATTGTTGTGATCCGCAGTGTTTGCTCTGTGAGGTTTACAAAAATGATAAATTCTATTCCCTTTTCTGTCTCTTGGGTTTGTATGCTGCATGGGACTAGTCTAGTGCAGACACTTGTCCTTTGGAACCAGGTGGTTTTCTTTTAATTGTGCTCTTAAGTGGGGAAAAGCTAGAAGTCCTTGTAGTTTGTGTAAATGATTGTTTGCTTTTAACAAAGTCGTCAAAAGCTTCACATTACAGAGTGTATAATGAGATTCCTGTATTTTTCCTTCAGATACTATGGCGAAGTGATTTCCTCCTATATGTTACTTACTATGTCTCCTGGTAGAGTAGTATAAAAAAGCTACACAGCTTTTAATTTGCTCAAATACTCATAAAGTTATTTAGGGATTAACGATATTTTTGCTTTGTTTCTTCTATTGCAAGTGACTATTATCACCTAAAGATTATAACCGATATAGTTTATAATCCAAAGACAATTATAACTTGAGATGATTGAGCTGACCTGCACTGTGGCAGACTGCAGT